TAAACAAAATTGTCTCAAAGTGATCAACTTGTGGTCTTTAAGACATTCTTTTTAATCCCTCCCCCACCCCACATCCCAATAAGCTATTAGTGGTTCTCACAGCCTACCCGACCCGTCTTCCTTCCCACTCCTCACCACTGTACCAAGCATTAGTACCACGATCACCAAGCTGCTGGGTTAAAATCTGGCTCTACCACTCAAAACCTTCCTCTCACCAACCTATTCTTCCCCTATCACCATATTTACCCACTCACCCCATAAAGGCCTTGCCTAAGCTCAAGTCAGTGACCTGACTAAGAATTTACGACATTCACATGTTGTAGTTATATACACGTCCTATTATAGCACAATGGTTACTTTTCAAACTGATCACAAAAAACTCTACAAATTAAATAAAAACCATATATTAAATGGCTTTCGTGTGAAAATTAGCAAAACTTTTAAAGAGGCGGTCACAAATAAGCCCAAATAATATAAACAAGTTGTTCTGAAAAGAAACGAGGCAAACACCCTACCAGAGTACTTATCTTTATTTACCAATCTAATAAGGGATGGTACGACAGCCAAATTTTTTACGATATCGACACCCACCAATACCGATACTTTCGACACACCCCCTGACAATGTAACATTTTGCAAAGTTAGCCGTTTGCGCTACTAGTCTAAAACTTCAATTTATAGAGAAAACTGGGAGCCAAATGGGAGTGGGTTTCTGTACACAGCCAAATTTAATTCTTATATTTCAATGTGGCTGCAAAGAGCGGTCACATCGGCAGCTATCGTCTTTTACATGCCTGGCTATTGATATTGCACTTCATTCCCTATGCGTGATTTGGTAGAGAAAAGTGCTACAGTCGCATATTAACTGTTGTACCACATGAGAGAAAAAAGTGTTAAAGAGAAAGGAACTAGTGTTCTGATGGCTCTTAAGTGACATTTTCTGTTAAAAACTTTCCTTGCAAACTCAAACATTTCCAGTATACCTGAGACAAGGCAGTATGGGTTGGTATGTGACAGTCTTATTGATTTGTAAGGTTTGTATTACTTGAGCTGACTTGGCACGCGTCGCCTGGATGACAAATACTGATCAAATGTGCGCGCGCATGCACACCCACAATCCAGCAAACTCATAACTCGTGGTCTCACATCTATAATGCCACACAGGATAGGTATGCATAATAAAAGTATCAAACCTTAAGACTGAAAATAGTTCAAGACCGTCAAACCAATATGCTTTATATATTTTGTACATGTACTTTTAGAAATAATTCATTATTATAGCTCGCTATAGTCAAGGTAAGATTTCGTTCGGATTTTTAACCCCGGAGGGTTAGCCACCCAGGATAACCCAAGAAAGTCAGTGCGTCATCGAGGACTAACTTATTTCCATTGGGGTCATTAATCTTGTCCCCCAGGATGCGACCCACACCAGTCGACTAACACCCAGGTACCTATTTGCTGCTAGGTGAACAGGACAACAGGTGTAAGGAAACGTGTCGAATGTTTCCACCCACCGGGAATCGAACCCGGGCCCTCCGTGTGTGAAGCGGGAGCTTTAGCCACCAGGCCACCGGGCCTGGTATTCTCATTTTTCATGGGCCTCCTGAACAGCTACTGTGGTTGAATACCCCTCCATGCATATAAGGGGTAACGCAAGATAGGATATCACAAGTCAGTGACATCATAATAGTATACAATACTGTTATATATCTACTTTCAAGATGTTTTGCCAACTAATGGCTTAATCAACTGAATACAGAGTTAAGCTGACAATATACGTGATGAGGTAATCATACATATGAATCAATAGTGGAGGGTAGGGGGCAAAGTAGGTTGTGCACGATGGGATTAGACACAGCGAGCATGTGAGAATGTTTGATAGGAGTGGAAGCAAGTGGTTTTTGAGACTAAAGGCTGCTGGAGTGTGAGCAAGGTAACGCGTATAAAGATATTCAAAGAAACCAGTTAGCCAGAAGTCCTGAAGGTTGACAGTACAGTGCATGCAATCTGAAGGTAGGGTGGTGATATTTTTTGTTTTGAACTGTAGTACTGTATCAACCCTCCGGCAAGACAGTGATGGGAAATGGCCAGTTTGACAAACTATGCACATGTGCTTGGCATCAGACAAGCATTTAGTCATCTCGAGCCTACCTTTGATGAGGTTTGAGTTTTTCTACTCCCTCAGCCCAGCACTGGGCCAGGCTTATCTGGTGCTTGCCTGGTTAACTAAATACGCTGTTACTGCTGGTGGCCAGTTGGCCCAAAGTCCGGATTGGGTTCTAGTCCCTCATGTACCTTCCATGTACATGATGGCTCTCTGCTCCAACATATTTAGGACAGGCATTCACAGTAAATTAAAATGCTTTAATGGCTACATATAGGCTATAAATTATCTAACTGCTACAGCTTCTGCCCTGAATAGTTGTTAACAATGAATAAAAATCAGATCACAGATCTGAATTGTTACCAGTGACACCATGGCCCTTGTTTTGAAATTTCTCATTATCCACCCCCATAATTTTCCTTGTTTTCTTGATATTTGCCTTCTGACAATTACGTTCAGATCTTTCACGTGTTCCTTTCATTCTATTTAGTGATCTTGTTTTGCAGTTTCTCTTTTGAGTTCATGCTTTCAATATGTAAACAGTTGGAACTTGTCACCATTTAATTATTTTATTCTCTATTGCCCACTGGTTAAACAAACATTCAAACTTTAACATCGTAGAACAAATTTGCACTATCTGTACCAACCTGATACTGTTGGAACCAATTTACTTATTACAGTAGTCAATTACAATGCAGGTGAAGCTAATTAAATTTTTTTACATTCTACAATCCATGTCCATGAATCATTCCATGCCAATGACTAGGTGTGTGAACAAATTTAGATGAAAAGGGAAATTTGAGGCCTAAGCTGAGATGACAGGTTTTGAATAATTTCGAGTCTTCACAATTTTTTCCACGTCACTGATCCCTATATATACTCGCATGCTCTCTGCTCAGGTAGCTCTGTGACTATAAACCCTGTGTGAGCAATATGTCAATAAAGGATCACATTATACAATATTTGTGTCTACTTTGCCTTGTGAATTAGGCAACTGGACACTGGCATGTCTTTGAAGTGAGGTTTGTTTTCAGGAACTGATATAGCAGTTCCTTCCTGCAGACTTCAGCCTTCAGAAAAATCAACCCTGTTCACACAAGATGGAAGTAACCTCTGAAATTATTAATTTTTAGCGATGTTTGCCAACCTTGCTACTCAAATAGAATTAAGATTTTTTTTTATCAAGTATATGAGTATATCAAGTATATGAGTGGTGCGTTGAGGTATATGTGGAGTCAAAAAACGTTATCTATGGAGGCAAAGAAGGGAATGTATGAAAGTATAGTAGTACCAACACTCTTACATGGATGTGAAGCTTGGGTGGTAAATGCAGCAGCGAGGAGACGGTTGGAGGCAGTGGAGATGTCCTGTCTAAGGGCAATGTGTGGTGTAAATATTATGCAGAAAATTCGGAGTGTGGAAATTAGGAGAAGGTGTGGAGTTAATAAAAGCATTAGTCAGAGGGCAGAAGAGGGGTTGTTGAGGTGGTTTGGTCATTTAGAGAGAATGGATCAAAGTAGAATGACATGGAAAGCATATAAATCTATAGGGGAAGGAAAGAGGGGTAGGGGTCGTCCTCGAAAGGGTTGGAAAGAGGGGGTAAAGGAGGTTTTGTGGGTGAGGGGCTTGGACTTCCAGCAAGCGTGCATGAGCGTGTTAGATAGGAGTGAATGGAGACGAATGATACTTGGGACCTAACGATCTGTTGGAGTGTGAGCAGGGTAATATTTAGTGAAGGGATTCAGGGAAACCGGTTATTTTCATATAGTCGGACTTGAGTCCTGGAAATGGGAAGTACAATGCCTGCACTTTAAAGGAGGGGTTTGGGATATTGGCAGTTTGGAGGGATATGTTGTGTATCTCTATACGTATATGCTTCTAAACTGTTATATTCTGAGCACCTCTGCAAAAGCAGTGATAATGTGTGAGTGTGGTGAAAGTGTTGAATGATGATGAAAGTATTTTCTTTTTGGGGATTTTCTTTCTTTTTTTGGGTCACCCTGCCTCGGTGGGAGACGACCGACTTGTTGGGGAAAAAAAAAAAAAAAAAAAAAAAAAAAAAAAAAAAAAAAAAAAAAAAATGAACATAATTCTTTACCCTTTCCAAGTGAGCTACTAGTACATCTTCCAACTGTGCAACATTCACCACAATCCCAACCAAGGTGTCAAATTTACTTAAAATAAATTTGGTTAGTGTAGTAGTACATTTTACAAATGCATTTCATAGTAGCTAAGACAGTAGGATAAAAACTAAGAAAACTGACCTATCCTGGCTCAAAAATTAACAGGTTATGATTAACTTACGTAGATACTGACGACTTCATCCTCACTTTTAAAATACTAGTTACTTCCTTCACAATGACAAGGTTACTGAGGTTTATGAACCTGTGGCCAGCATTCACACATGTCTGCTAAGAAACTGTGTATTTTATTTTAGGAAGAATAACAGATTTTGGCATTACACTCACGGCTCTAACTTAACATTCCATATGCTTGGCTACCTTTACCTTCGACGAGTTTCATTAGTTTTTCCTAATTGTGCAGCCTGGCCCTGGGCCAGGCTTTTCGGGGGGCTTGCTTGGCAACCAAGCTGATGGCCCACTGGCCTCTATAGCCATCACAGCTGATCCAGCATTAACAGAACAAGTTACAAAATTAGCAGATGACCAAGCAATGACAAACTAGTTGCTGCTAATATGAGCACTGAATCATTGATAAAACTGGTGCAAGATTTTTTACCCAAATCTTTCTGGAGTTTTTAAAGCCAATTTTTTTTTTTTTTTTTTTTTTGCTAAAATACATACTGTACTAATACACCAAGTTGTGCATACAGACAATAAAATGGGAAAGAATAACTTACATATCATGGGTTGGTGGTGATCTGCCCTTCACCTACCTTGTTCATAACCTGAAATTAAAGACAACATACAAACTTTAATTTTAAAAAATTTCCAACACTTAAAATGTATAGAAATGTCATATATATTAAAGTACTTCCTAAAACTTAAAATCAATACCAGAAACTGAATGAACATGAGCAGCTTCTCTTCAAAGTAAATTGTGGAGCTAATTTACCTACCTTTTAGGGCAATACAATAAGGATTAAGAGTGTAAAATGTATATAAAAAAAAAGGATAATTTACATGTCATTTCATTATAAGCCAGTAATAAAAAATACCTAGTCAAGTTGGAACAAAACAGGATCAAAATTCTATGCCCAAGTAATGAGCTTCATCTGATTCTTTAAGCATTACAAATTCGAAGTTTATGTAACAAGCTAAGAAAAATTATCTTGCCTTAGTTCCATTTTAAAGTAGTCCAAAAATTTATCTCCCGCAGCACTACAGAAACTTCAACATTACCATTTTATTCTAAAGTTATCAGAGTGGACTTTCTACTTTAGTATTTTAATTGCCTTTTAGAGGCATATAGTATTCAATTTCAGTTCATGACAAATTGAAAATGTTCCATCAATCATCAGTAAGAAACATTTAGTCAGTACATGTATACTGGGAAGAGGGGGAGAAAAAGTGCGAGTTCATGTTACTAAGATGAGGTCTACAAGAGTTTATCACAGGAACTTAACCCATTCTGTTTGCAGATGACAGCTTATCTCTCTAATGCAAATCAAATCCTGGGCAAATCAAGACATATGGGTGAGTCTTCTCACACCACTGCCCCTGCCAACCCTCAGTAAAAAGGTACCTGGGAATTAGTCTATAGCTGTGGGTCACATTCAAGGGAATGGTTAAGTACTACAAACAAGTGAGCTACTGTCTCAAATGCCCAATGCACATGACAAATTAATCAAAAAGAGCCGAAAGGCTAAACCTATCCTAACAGGGCCCCTAGGGGAGGCACCTAGTCTCTCATCAGATCATTTTTTTGCCTGGCCCATGGCCGAGCTCCAGGAGTAGAAACACTCGAAATTTATCAAAAGTATATCAAACCTAAGTTTCACCCAAGAAAATAATGTCAAACTTGGAAAGATAACTACTTGAATCACAAAATCATGATGTTGATATACTGTTTAAATGTTTGGGAAGAAGTCTAATAATATTCATCTGAACAATCATTCACCAATCAAAAGGCAGGATGAAGGTAAATTCTCAGGTATAGTCCGACATCAAACAAATTCTACACACATCCAGAATATTTCTTCTTTCCAAATCAGTGGACAGTTTCCAAAATACACTATGATGTAACCCAAACATACTCTATGCCCTAATCTATCCCTATCTCACTTAGGGTATTTTCCCGTTTATTTTTGTTAATCAATTTCACCTCATTCTTATTTTGCCATTAATTGCCCAATTCATATGTCCATATCAACTAGCCACAATTTGTGCAAATTACCTTTCATAGATAATTTTAAAAATTAATATTCAGTATTTTTTTATTAAGCAATCATTTTTAGTTTGTATAATCATTAGTCACTATTCATCTGTATTGACTAACTTTTGTAGTTTTCTGTATATATTTATTTTTCAATGTATGATTTAAGAATTTGTATTACTTCATTACTATTATTTGCTTACTATTCATAAACTAGTCACAATTTTCAATCTTTTGTACTACCTTTGATTACTTCATCAATCCATCGCATAACTGCAGGTTACAGCTTTATATTTTATTAAAAGTTACAATACACATGAATCAATTTTGTACTTCTCTACAATGTTTCTATTTATGTTTATAATCTTAGCAAATTACTATTTCTCAAATTATACTATTAGTGGTCAAGTGCTGAAAACTATCTCGTACTTCAGTGTTACATATCCTACATCTTAGTTCAAGAATCTGCTACTGATCCTGATTTATGTCTTATTACAACCAATATTCTTCGGACCATAATTATCATTATTACACACAAAAGCAAATCCATTCTCTGCATCACCAAGAATATATCAATATTCAGTTTTAATGTTAGATCTCCAAGTAAACTCATGACATCAACACTAAGATTCTTTAAATGCTAACACAGCTTTTATTACTCTTACTGAAACCTGTGCCCGATAAAAGGTTTAAACAAAATACGACAGGCATTTTCAGCATGCCTGGCAACACAGCCATTCATAACTGTAGGACTAATGAAATGGGAGGTGGAACTGCAATCTTCTATAATGAATTGAGATGTAGTAACCTGACATGTTCCAAGAATGAACATGATAAATATATAATTGCTCAACTTACAACCAAAACCAAAGACCCCAATTACAGCTGGAGCAGTTTACTGGTTACAACATAAATGTTGTCACTGAAGGTGGCAACCTTAAAAAAATTAACCAAGCATCATCTAATAACTGCTGGAGACTAACAGTTGCCTCAACCGTGCTGAGGACCGACAAGTAGCCGACTTCTTTAACTTCTTGTACAATGGTTTGTTAATACTATCTGTAATTAAGCCCACAAGAATAACATTACTCCATCTTCACTCGATTGCTAATTGGACAATACTACCATGTAGGCAGTTTCATCAATAAAGATGCCCAACTGTAGTAAGTTTTAATCTTCAAGTTGTTGGTATTTTATACCATTTTGAACAATACTGTCAGACACTGCAGCACAACAGTATCTTGGTACAGAGATCTTCCATTCTTCGTGTATGTACTAGTTATAAGTGAGAAGGGTTTGATTCCAAAGGGACCTGCCTTCTTACTTCCACTAGTGGATCCAGTCCCCACCTCACCTTTGACAGTACTTAAGACTCCATTCTCATGCTTCAGCTTCATATTGTTCTAAACCATGAAGCTGAACTCTTCTCCAGGCTGAAGGACGGAAGACTTCAAATACCTTTTCTCCAAGGTTGATGGACTGATTACATCATTTCATTACTACTGCTCCCTCTATTTGATTGAAGCCTACTGTGTAGGCAAAATGTTTGATCAATAAAGACACCAAATTGTTTCTACATGTGTCAATCTTCAGATGAACCTCACATCCAGCCTTGAGAAATAACATAGTAAATGATTTCTTCACTACTATAGGATCAAGACTAGCTAGCAAGTCCCAACTTCCAATGCTCGGGTCAGTGACTACCTTACTTGAAATTTTCCAAATTCACTATCTAGATCCAACTAATCCTAGAGAGGTCACACTAAAAAATTAATTGAAAAACAAAATAACCCAACTAATTTACCACCATTAATATACAATAAAGCAGCTCATGTGCTCTCACCCACTACTGCAACTTTGTTCAACAAATCATCAGAATCTGCAACTTTTCCAGATGATTAGGGTAGGAAGAGTTACCCCAATACACAATGGAGGCAATCCAACTGGACTAAACTAGAAGCCAATATCCAACCTGCTATTACTCTAATCTTCTAAAAAATAATTCGTAAGTTACTCCTTTCTAGTGTCTCACATTATACTCAACCCCTGGCAGTTTGGCTTTTAGAGAAAAAAGATGCAATTATAATAATCAAACTGCTTTATGCAGCTCTTGAAAATAATGAATATCCTCTAGGCCTCTTCATATCCCTGGGAAATGCTTTTGATACAGTGGACCATAACCTCTTGCACCTTAAACTGGAACATGTGGTCAGAGGTAGACATCAGTATATGTCTAATGGAGTATCCTTGTCAACTTAGCCTGTTGACATAGGAGTGCCTCGAAGTGTTTTTTGCATTCTGCTTTTCCTTGTATACATCAACAATCTCTCAACAGATTATCTCCCTGAACCTGTTCTGTTCACAGATGACAATGTTATCACATACTCAAATCAGATTTCTCTCAACAGTTAATGAGCTAAAAAACTCTACATGGATGATTACAAAAAAACTCAACCTTAATAGTGACAAAATCTACATGTTTGAAAACGGCTAATACCTAATTAATGATCGGTTTTCTCACTGGGAGACACACCAAGGGTAAATTCTCATGTCCGCAGCTTGACTGCAACTTTAAATTTAATACCTACATCTAATACATAACTAAAGTGGTCTCCAAAACAGTAGGCATCCTCTCCAAGATACATTACAGTTTACCTCAAACAGCACTACTTGCATTGTACTATCTAATCTGTCCTCATTTCATGTACGGTATTTGTGCCTGAGGATCTACCTCTTCAAGCATTAACTACAAAAAGCCACTGTGTGGATTATCACCCATTCCAATGCCAGACAGCATACACTCCCCCACTCTTCAAAAGCCTGTACTTAATGTGATAATACTTTTATTTCAGCACGATACATGTATGCACAAAGGAGTAAAACAATTGGGTGTACATGACAAAAGCCCCTTTATATGCAGAGTATTTCGGGCAACTTCAGACTAACTTAAGATTAATAAGGCAATAACAGTGCAGTAATTTTGTACATAAGGTAATTAGGAGTTATAATGAATACAAAAGAACTGAAAATTCTATTAGTTCATGCTATATGACTTTATAAAGTTTTTTAGTTTTGATTATTAACCTAAGGTGGACACAATGGAATGATTAACATTTGGGAGAATTACAGATATTGAGAGTAAGTATACATATACTGATTATAATGTTTTACCAATGTTCATGATAGAGAAAATTTACAGTTTTTGAAAAGATTTAGCCTGACATAGGAAATGTCAGATTTTTGTGCACAGTATTGTGTCTAAGGGTACTATTGCAACTGTCAAGAAAGCACTTCAGGTCAGGATTTATATTAGAATTGATTGTTCTGTAAAAATATTGGAGGATTCTGACCTATCAATGCCCTTGGAATGTCTGGGATCACTGGTATTTATTCTAGGTTAAATCTACAAAATGTACCATTATGTTTAGTTTTAACGAGACCTCAGTTTAAATTTTTCATGTTTTTTATATACTGTTGTATATTACATAGAATGCATGCTAGGTTAACCAAATCAAGTCACAGGTGTCCAGTAGCTTGACTGCTAGTGCACTCGGCTCACTGAGGTCTGAGTGAATGTTTTGTATAGCAAGTAGGTTTGTCTTTGAAAAGTGACGGGGTAGGGGGTATTGTCTAGCCGCGGATTGCATGATCATTCGCACTGCAGCTTTTAGTTGGGTTATTATTGGCTTTAGGCGATTTGTTGTGGAACCCCAGGCACAAATAGCATAGGCAAGGTAGGGGTAGATCAGAGAATAGTATAATGGTATTTATTCTCGGTTAAATCTACAAAATGTACCATTATGTTTAGTTTTAATGAGACCTCAGTTTAAATTTTTAATGTTTTTTATATACTGTAGTATATTACATAGAATGCATCCTAGGTTAACCAAATCAAGTCACAGGTGTCCAGTAGCTCGACTGCTAGCACACTCAGCTCACACACTGGTCCAGGGGTCGATCCCCAGTAAGGGTGGAAGCCATTAGGACAAGTGTTCTTAAGACGCTGTCCATTTTCACCCATCAGTAAAATAGGTACCCAGGTGTTAATTGACTGGTGTGGGTTACATCGTGCGACAAAACCAACCCAATTTATCCAAAATACTCTGCATAGGGGGATTTCTATGTACTATGTAGTACATTGGACCCCCGGTTTACGATATTTCATTCCAGAAGTATGTTCAGGTGCCAGTACTGACCGAATTTGTTCCCATAAGGAATATTGTGAATTAGATTAGCCCATTTCAGACCCCCAAACACACACATACAAACGCACTTACATAAATACACTTACATAATTGGTCGCATTGGGAGCTAATCGTAAACTGGAGGTCCACTGTATTATGTCACTGATGTACAAGGTATACAAGCCTGACATATACTTACAGAAATAAAGATTATATTATGTGCCATTAGGACCAGAGTACAAGTTCACCTGCAAGTTTAATTTGGTCTCTAGTGCAATGAAATTATTAGGGTTAAGTACAGTAACATTTTTATTAATTTACACCATCCACATTGTAATTTTATCCACCAAAAGACTTCTGGATTGTGTTTATAGGGAGTTCTAAAATCAAACTTTATACAACATACAGGGATCATGAGTATATAATACTGACAAGTTGATGAGCGAGGCATATTGAACACTAGTTATCTTCAACGTCTAAAAAAGTTTTGCTTGCACAGCTGGTTTGTATAGTCTGCACAGCAGATTATAGAAACCAGCAGGTGGAATCTTTAGGTATGGGTGGAAACCCTAGAATGTGTTTCCTTAAGCCACCTGCTCTCCATGTTCGCTTATCAGTAAGTGAAATAGGTACCTGGATGTTAGTCAATTGGTGTGGGTTGCATCCTGGGGACAAAGCTGACGTAATTTGCCAGAAATGCTCTGCATGACAAGGGGTTTTCTGTATAGTAGTATGTCATTGATGTCGGCTAAGCCTGTATACCTTGTACATGTATATTTGTGAAAATAAGGATTATAAGTATGGTTGTGCACCATGTGTTTTAAGTCATCAGTCAGTGCCTTGGGGAATGGAAAACAATTAGGTTTGAGCCAAGAATGGGGATAATCACAAATCCTGAGGAGGGGCTCGAGCCCCGGTCCTGTGGATCAAAAGCTCTTTACTATCAAAGCACCTTTATGAAAGCTGAACCGTGGCATTATTAAAATAATAGCCTCCCTTACCTAAAATTCTAACATCAGTGTTACTCTAAAACAACTTGAAAGTTTTAAGGAATGTGTATGTAATGGTTGAACTTGCAGACTATATACTGAACTGTCATAACTTGAGCTTTTCTCCCAGGTTGACTACACAAGTTTAGATAATCACAACCGTTTTATACAAAAACTTAAGACCTAAATCAACTTCAAAATAACAGTAAGTTTATTTAGGTAGAGGTACACAAAAGTACAATTATCATACATAGTTTAAAATGTGTAAATTACCTAGGACAACCTTTTTTGAAGGTTATCCTGGGTAATTTACACTATTTATAGTCTGGTAATTGCACTTCCATGTACCTGTGCCTAAATAAACTTTAATTATCACTTATTTCCACTGGGGTCCTGGATTACTGCCATAACATAAAATATGAAAATACCAGCTTGTGAGACGATGACACAGAGAACATACCGCAGGGTTAGACTCCAGGGGCAGCCAGCGGACCATGATGCAGGGTTGATAGTAAGACTAAGTGTGTGAAGGTGGAGCAACAACCTGACGGCAGGGAGTGAGAGCAGCTTCTAGCGGCTTCCTCAGTACTCTACCTCAGCCCCACCCGCCAGTCACACCCATTTTCTTTTTTCCAGTATACTCTAACCTAGCTTGTATTTTTTCTTTGTATTTGTACGTTTCTAGTGGACACTTGTTTATATTTGAAAATACATCCGAGGTATAAGTGATTCAGTGACATTGCTAAAGGTAGAAATAAAGAAATTATTATTATTATTATAATCAAGGGGGAAGCGCTAAACCCGGAGGATTATACAGCGCCTGGGGGGGGGGGATGTGGAAGGCATTCAGGCTTAATTCGGGGAACTGGAGCACAGATCCAATTCCCTAAATCAAGAGCCCCTCACCAACATCAAGGAACCTTCCTTGAGGGGAGAAATAAAGAAAGAAATTGAGATTCGAAAATAACTGCAGACAATAACACCAGTTATCTGTCAGTAAACAATATTTTGTCTGCCAGAAATGAGGATTCATTATAACATTTTCATGTTTTATTGAAAATATAAAATTATATTCAATATCAAAGAAGAAACATACAACTTTTTAATATAAGAGCTTCAGACAATATTACAACACAAAAGAGCTATGAAGCTATAGGACCCGTGAAAATAATTCACTGTGACTTTTTTTTTGGGTTATCCTGGGACCTAGGTTCTCTACACATATGCTCCTATGTATAATAATCTTTGTAACTGTATTTGTGTATACCTGAATAAACTTACTTATAATTCAGACATAGTGCATAAATTATGAATGACATATAATAGGCCATATATTACGAAATGGTTATAATAATTACCATAAATTTTAAAGGGGTGGACAGGTATTATTATTATTATTAAAGATTTGCCGGTATTCTCCCGGCCCGGGCCTTTTCCAAGTGGTGGCCCGGCCTTGGCTCCCTCTTTAGGGAGTGTCTGAGAACTAAGTCTCCCATGGGAGGAGGCACAAGTACCTCCTCATCTTTGGGACCAACTGTCCCCAGGCCTAGCCACAAGCTAGGCCTCTCTGGTCTGCCATCCCCGCCACAAGGGGGCTAATGGGAATGACAGGCTTGTGAGCTGCAAGCTCGGACTCAGGCACCTACCCTACCCTAGAAGAGTTAGGCATGGTGTCGATGGTGGACAGGTAAGCCGGCGGAAGGCCTCAATCAAATAAGCAATAATAATAATTATTGTGAATTATTATTATGTGAGCAAATTACCTACATGAAGTTTACAGGGTATTGAAGAAATGAGACACTTATGCAATATATGGGAATCTTTACTGAAGAAACTTCGCCACAGTGGCTTCATCAGTCCAATACAAAGTAGAAATGGGTAAGGAGAGGAGGAGTATGAAGTAATCAGTCCCTCAGCCTGGAATCGATGTGTTCAGTCTATCACTCTTGTAGGAAGTACAGCAGAGGGCCAGAGAGGTGGCTTATATACTGCAGTCAGGTGAATTGAAGGAGGAGGAGGCGAGATCACAGTCGGTGGTCTGGTGGCTAAAACTCCCGCTTCACACACGGAGGGCCCGGGTTCGATTCCCGGCGGGTGGAAATTCCGACACGTTTCCTTACACCTATTGTCCTGTTCACCTAGCAGCAAATAGGTACCTGGGTGTTAGTCGACTGGTGTGGGTCGCATCCTGGGGGACAAGATTAAGGACCCCAATGGAAATAAGTTAGACAGTCCTCGATGACGCACTGACTTTCTTGGGTTATCCTGGGTGGCTAACCCTCCGGGGTTAAAAATCCGAACGAAATCTTATCTTATCTTATCTTAACTAATGTAAGTAGGTCTTCATCCAAAGGTTGGACAAGCATTGAAGAAGTCTTTGTACCAAGCTCCCATAATGTTGCAGTGTCTGACAGATGTGATGAATGGTTTTGAAAACCGACAAGTTGCAGTGAGACACTTATGCAACATATTATTACAGGCAAGTAATTTGGGTGAGATAAATGGGACTTAAGTCACAGTAGGTTGCAGGACTGTAATTCCATCGATGTCCACTCCCTACCACTATCACAAAAAGATAGACCTTTGTCTTTGTAACTTGTCATGATTGTGACCAGACTTACCTGGAGTTCATTACCTTTGTAAATTGTGAGTTCATTACCTTTGTAAATTGTGAGTTCATTACCTCTGTAACTTGCTCAGCTATCAAAACTTTGGAGTCCAGTCCCTGGACCAATTATGTACCTCTGTAATCTTTTGACTACCGCCCACAGGATGGGTATGGGGTGCATAATAAACATATTAAACTAACTAACTAAATTTGTAAATTGTGAGTTCATTACCTCTGTAACTTGCTCAGCTATCAAAACTTTGGAGTCCAGTCCCTGGACCAATTATGTACCTCTGTAATCTTTTGACTACCGCCCACAGGATGGGTATGGGGTGCATAATAAACATATTAAACTAAAACTGACATTAAATTAATAATTACAATATTAAACATTAGTACCAATAATTGTAAATTATAAAATAATTTGGACTGTATGTGATTAGACTTGCTAGGTACACAAAATATATTCGTATTATTACTTACCATTTAATTACTGTAGATGGATCACACCACAACACCTGCCTAAGACCTAGACCCCTAGACCCTATACTGGCCAGCTAGAGATATAAATGCAAGGACTAATGGTGCACTTCCCTGTGAGTGATGTTTGTATTCCTTATCTTCCATCATCTATACATAATTCTTGAGGTCCTGAAATTTCCTGTCCTAATTCTCCAGCAGGGAACATTAACACGGGTTCCTAATTAAAAATTCAGGCCGAAAAACCCCAATTTGGCCACAAAGACACCGGCTTATTAGCTGAATTTTCAGCGACAACTAGTGTTCACAAATTACATATGGCGTCTCATCTGAAGCGTCACTTCTCCAGCTGTTTTGCATCCCCCTTCACTCAAAATTTCTGTAAGGTCCAAATAGCATCACATTTTAATATGAAATAATTATATTCATTTGTATGTTCTACATTTAGGAAATAATGTAAAATATAGCCCCACTCCACAAAGGAGGCAGTAAAGCAACAGCAAAGAACTACAGACCGGACCGGTAGCACTAACATCCCATATCTTAAAAATCTTTGAAAGGGTCCTAAGAAGCAAGATCACCACCCATCTAGAAACCCATCAGGTACACAACCCTGGGCAACATGGGTTTAGAACAGGTCGCTCCTGTCTGTCTCAACTATTGGATCACTACGACAAGGTAATAGATGCACTAGAAGACAAAAAGAATGCAGATGTAATATATACAGACTTTGCAAAAGCCTTCGACAAGTGTGACCATGGCGTAATAGCGCACAAAATGCATGCTAAAGGAATAACAGGAAAAGTCAGTCGATGGATCTATAATTTCCTCACTAACAGAACACAGAGAGTAGTCGTCAACAGAGGAAAGTCCGAGGCAGCTACGGTGAAAAGCTCTGTTCCACAAGGCACAGTACTCACTCCCATCTTGTTCCTCATCCTCATATCTGACATAGACAAGGATGTCAGCCACAGCACCGTGTCTTCCTTTGCAGATGACACCCGAATCTGCATGACAGTGTCTTCCATTGCAGACACTGCAAGGCTCCAGGCGGACATCAACCAAATTTTCAGTGGGCTGCAGAAAACAATATGAAGTTCAACGATGAGAAATTTCAATTACTTAGATATGGTAAACATGAGGAAATTAAATCTTCATCAGAGTACAAAACAAATTCTGGCCACAAAATAGAGCGAAACACCAACATCAAAGACCTGGGAGTGATCATGTCGGAGGATCTCACCTTCAAGGACCATAACATTGTATCAATCGCATCTGCTAGAAAAATGACAGGATGGATAATGAGAACCTTCAAAACTAGGGAGGCCAAGCCCATGATGACACTCTTCAGGTCACTTGTTCTATCTAGGCTGGAATATTGCTGCACACTAACAGCACCTTTCAAGGCAGGTGAAATTGCTGACCTAGAAAATGTACAGAGAACCTTCACGGCGCGCATAACGGAGATAAAACACCTCAATTACTGGGAGCGCTTGAGGTTCCTAAACCTGTATTCCCTGGAACACAGGCGGGAGAGATACATGATTATATACACCTGGAAAATCCTAGAGGGACTAGTACCGAACTTCCACAAGAAAATCACTCACTACGAAAGCAAAAGACTTGGCAGACGATGCAACATCCCCCCAATGAAAAGCAGGGGTGTCACTAGCACGTTAAGAGACCATACAATAAGTGTCAGGGGCCCGAGACTGTTCAACTGCCTCCCAGCATACATAAGGGGGATTACCAACAGACCCCTGGCAGTCTTCAAGCTGGCACTGGACAAGCACCTAAAGTCAGTTCCTGACCAACCGGGCTGTGGCTCGTACGTTGGTTTGCGTGCAGCCAGCAGCAACAGCCTGGTTGATCAGGCTCTGATCCACCAGGAGGCCTGGTCACAGACCAGGCCGCGGGAGCGTTGACCTCCGGAACTCTCTCCAGATAAATAATAATATCTTCAGTTTTACAAGTACATGTACAAGGTATACAAGCTCCAGCTGTAGGTCATCATATTACTAAGAGCCACATCAGGAAACACTTGTCCTGTTTCCTGACAAACATTATACCTACATACACTAGCCAGCCTACCCAGGAGAACTGTTTAAGTGTACCAGAAGGAAAGATTGCTATGGAATACTGTCTCAGTAGTAGTAACCAGTTACCAGTAACCAGTGTACCGTTGACTCAACGACCAACCGTCTCTGCCTGAGTCACTATCTGAACTCATATTGCGCTGACCTGGCATTATTCAAAGACCCTCTCACTGGGTACTGTATGCGGCCAGTCGGTCAGTGTTACGAGAGGAGCGAGAGAGATAGGTTACGGCTGTAAGGGCGCTACCCACATTATCTGTAATTATACGTACTACCAGCCTATGTGAGTATTTCTTACCTAATCCACGTGTTGAACTCCCACATGATAAATGGTGGCACCGGTGTGGAGCGTGGATTTAGTTTTTACGGGTAATTCCAGACGTTAGAAGACTGTGAGTAGCCGGCAGGGTCAAAGGTGAACCTCCAGCCAGCCGCCTTACCCTCACTCACTACCTTCAGCCTGCAAGCCTGTTGTAGCCGTTTCAAGCTTCCTGGCTTAGTTCGTGTGCTAATTGCTTCAATCTCCGAGGGGTTGACCCGGATTTTGCAATTAAGCCAGTCAGTAAGCCAGACTGTGGAAGTGAACGCCAGTCAGCCTATCATCCAGCCTGTCTCCTGTCATCCACCTGCTCCTCCGTGCTTTGTGCATCGTTACACGTCTTCCAGTCAGCCATTCTCGTGGGGTAAGCCAGTCAGCCAACCCAGCTTCTAACCCAGCTGAGAGAGAGAGAAGTAAGCCACGCAGTAAGAA